ATGCTTGAGATTCCTATGTAATTATTTTGACGGACCAAGAAAATTATTTTCAGATTTGTATCTAGTTGAATCGTAGATACTTTAGCAAAATTCTTTCCGTGTACCATGTATTGGCAGTATATGAGTAATGCAAATTAAACAATTCTCATTGTAAATCTGTCTAACTAGTGTGCCAATTATAAACTTCATTAATTATGAATAGAATAAATTTAACGAGAGTTGACACATACCTCGTTCGGCAACAAAGCGAATCGAATTTTAATTTATCAGCGAAACAAAATCGACGTTCGCATTTTCACAATGATGCATTCGACAATCACGCCAATTTTCCGCGACATATACGTCACAACACAGCCGCTGGATACGAAGTAATTGTTAATAAAAGCGGAAAATGCGAGAATTCAAAATGCGCACTGCGGCGTACGCTATCACAGGTGTAATTCATTGCGTTTCAGCTCACAGATTATTATGCCGTCGCGGTCGCGATGACACCGCGTGCCGCTATAAAGCAGAGTCCTTGTGCCATTACTAGCTGTGGAACGGCAGAAGGAAGATTACTAGGAAAAAAAAGAGTCGTGACTCTCGCCAGGTAAAGCAGAAAGAAATACGAAACTTTGCTCAAAGAAACTTCCTCCCCATTTATCTAAAGCTACGGCGCGATGAGAAATGCAGATAACTCCTACGGTCGTCACAACGTTGAGAAGTATTTACAAAAGGATAAAAATAATATCACTACTGATCACACTATACGCATAAATAAGAACGCAATATAATATAACGTGCGCGTAAATTTCTAGATATATTGCGACATAGAGAAGAGATTATATCAAGATTTTCTCTTTCACATCCAATTTTCTTTCAGAAATTTCCAATTTACTTTCATTAAAACGAAAATGAAAAATACTTTATGATACTTCTATATCTAAAGCAGAATTATATAAAATTTCATGAATTGTAATGGAAATTGCCAAAACTTTTTCGCGCTCTTTAACACTGGAAATACGCTGAAAAGATTTTCGATACTTTTTTTTCAAATTTCTCTATGCTGTCATTCATTCAATCATGCTTATTCCGGAAAAGCTTTTTCGCTTTAAACGTTCAAAGGTAGAGCGACCTGATTTTAAAGAGCTTATTACACGCAGAATTCTCTTCAATATTATATGGCATTAGTAGTGAAGTATTAAATTATTTCAATATAGAAGATATAATTGTCCTGTGGTCGATTTCTTAAAGACAATTTTACACAAAGTATCCCAGAACTATTGAATAACCACCCAATTATATTCTTTCTCGATATCGCCGTGTAAAATCATTCAAAGCAATTCAATAAAGTTGAGTTCCACAATGCAACGTTTTTTGTTGACAGCTAACTTTCGAAATTCAACTTTTTAATTATTGCTGAACTTTATCTTATATATATGTTAATTTGTGATCATAGATATTTCCCTTCGAGAGAGATCTAGAAACAAGAGGATGGATAAAAAGAAGCAATATTATCTCAACATTAAGATAAAACTGAGAAAAATTTCCAGACTTTATCCGTTCAAAATGCAACAAACGGACATTTCCGATAGATTTTGATCGTATTTATAGGACTATCCGATGAAATTTTAGGACTATCGAATAAAATTTTATTGAAATTTTAATATTTTAACTGATAGTCCTAAAATTTCATCGGATAGTCCTATAAATACGATCAAAATCTATCGGAAATATCCGTTTGTTACATTTTGAACGGATAAAATCTGGAAATTTTTCTCAGTGAACAAACTAATATTCAAAAAATAATACTCAAAGAAAATAAAAATTTGGAAAACGGTGAAGTGTTTTATAACATTTTGAGCTCCTGAAATATGCCAAGACAATTTTGTTGTCCGTTTTCAACATGAAAAAAAAAACAATAACGACCGTCGATGAGAAATGTAACCCCATTAATAAAGTGTCAGAAATAATAGAGGCAGACATTTCTTTTAAAGATCGTGTTAATTTGTACGCTTTCATGTCTCGACACAATTAAACTTTCCATTAATGTATTTATCATGAAAAAATCATAGGCTTTTATTCTTCGCGCAAGATTACAGATAAAAATAAATTTATGTCTCTTTCTCTCTCTCATTCTGTCTCTCTACTAAAAGTAAATTGAAAAAGCTACGATACAAATTTGTTACATCATAAATGTTGTATTTCGAAAGCGGTGATAGCTCAAAATCACTATTACGATTGCCTAAAGCAACAATGATTCACGCTCGAAGAAGTTCAGTCGTTGTGCTGAGCCGGATATCGTACTAGGCGCTTTATTCACTTTACTTACAATGTATACAATGCACTTCTAGTCCGTATTTGAGCAGGAATTCATTTCTAGAGACTGCGCAATTACGCAAATTGGATTTCTTCTCTTTATTGCGGACTCGATTCGCTTTCTACGCACTGCGTTACGTATTATTGTCTTGCAACGGAAGCAATCGAGCGTCGCACTTCAATATCCGGAAATCGTGTCCTCTTCTTCGTTCAACAATTGTACCGTATAATATGGTTTGCAATCAGTTCAGTTTATGATAAAAGTAATGTGCCAGCTTCGTCAATTCTATAATACGAACAGCTGTCTCGTACAGTTACAACTCTATAATTGGTTTTCGGTATTTTCAAGATATAAGGCAATGAGATCTCTTTCTCTTTTAGCGCGTCGCAGTTCCATTTATTTCAATCGTATACCCGATAACTTTCTCTACCTCTTCTCGATGTCGCATTAAATTATTTTTTTACATATATATAAAATAAAAAATATTTCTCTAAAAAAAATAGCGGACGTAACAGAACTCTTAAAGTGCAGTTGCGTCATTGATTTTATTTCGGACATAAAAGAGCAATTCAATAACTTCCAGAAAAAAAACTTCGTACGAGAATTCGGTGTTTATCTCAATTTCGCGCGCAAATCACATTAGTTCCACTCGGTACTCTTGATCGGGACGATCGTCTACATTTCAACTATCGGGTCAACGAACACCAATTCCCAAGATTTCCCATGTGCTTTTCTCGTCGAACTTTTCCCAGAATTTATCTCCATTGCAAAATAAAAGAGCAACACTCTTTTGATGCCAAAATTGAAGATACGTCAACGAAAATCATGTGATATCGTCTAATTATCTCAAAATAATATTCACTCAACAAACAAAACTTTAATCTGTATTCTGAACACATTATTATTAAATTGATTTCTTCAATTCCATGGAATTGAATATATTTATTTAACTCTTACTTTATATTGGCTTTGAATATTAGAAAAATCAGATTCAAATTTAATATATTCAGTAATATGAAATATGCGATATTAGATATAAATATATGACCATCATCCATAAATCCTAGGAATAAAATTTAGAATGTAGAAATTGTATATAGAAAAAGAAGAATACAGACTTTCATGTTCGTTATTTGTATCGTTTGTAGTAAGAAAGTTGGAAAATGGAAAAGTTTTTAATGTAAAAAAAGTTATCGAGGTATACGTAGGACGTGCTGCAATGATCACACGTGATTCTTCATACAATTGGACAAGTAAGAAAACTAAAACTTGTTCGAAACGCGATTTCAATCATCTGTTTTCTCCAAAATTCTGATCGATAAAAGTTCATATTGAAAGATCCAAATCAGATTGTAGTGCGAGATTTCTCAAAGAGCCAACATTCTACAAACTACTGTATATAACTGGTACGAACTACCGTATATAACTGATCCCATAAAATTATATCAATCACTTTCCAACACCAACGGATCAAAATTCAACCGAAACCGAAATGTCAAGATTTCATTCATATCGCACTTGTCAAGTTTCTGATAATATTTACTACTCTCTTTCTATCACGGGCGCAAACTGTCACGTTACGTCCACGTCTCGCCTGTTTTACGTCACACCACTGGAATTGATAACGACGTGTCCACAGCCGGCTCCGACGACCGAATGAGCAGAAACATGCGCTTTCGGCAGGTGCGGGCGTGACTCCGGCAAAGTGCTCCGAGAAACTCCGCGTGACGTTGAAGCTCCAAAAGCTCCGCCAACGCGCCGCGGCAACGTTTACGCGCGACTATCAGCTTTTCGACGTAGAAGCACGCGCGACGCGACGCGACGCGACGCGACGGCATGCGTCGCCGGCGAGCGCGTGCGTCGCCTCTCCCGACGCGAAAACCGCGAAGAAGCCGGACACCCCCGCGGAGCGAAACGCGCGCGACCGTCCGCAAGGCCGTCGCGGTCACAACAAAACGTGTGGCTGCCCACCGGGTGCCACGAGGAGTGGCAGGATCGTGTCATCGACTCCTCGACTATTGCGACATCTTGATGCTACACGATCTAACCGCGAACTCTAAGGGTTTCTATCTGCCAGAAGCACCAGATATATTACCAAGCAACTCTCCCTCGTGGTTAAATAAATATTTATTTCGAATCGAAAAGGATCGTTTATTTACAGGATCATAAATATCGAAAAAGTAATGAAGATGTGATGTGTGTAAAAAGTATCTCGTGAAGAACTCTTCATTTTATCTCCTCCCTCTCCATAATATTGCTATGTCGTGAGGTAACGTTCGCAGTAATACCGGCGTACCTGGCAGCGGAAGCTAACCACTACTTCGGATGAGATAACATAACATTATATTTTCCGACATATAATGAACGATAAAATAAATAATCATTATTGCTTTATGAGTTTATGATATTTTGATGACCTTTAAATAATTCTTTTTATTCAAAGTAGATATTCATTTAATAGAAATTAATTACTACTTGTGGCAGCAGTAAAAAAATAGAAATAAACCTTTGATATTACTAAGGTTAAAGCATTTGCAAAGACATATGATAATGCATTTAAAAAAATACATTTGTATAAAAAGTAAAAATAAAATCGAAATTATATCCCGTTCAGATCTACAATGCAATTAAATTGAAAAATTGAATAAACATCGTTTCAATAATTTTATTATTGTTATTATGAATTTTATCGTAGAGAAAATCATTTCAATCTAACGTTTGTGACAAATTCGCAATTACTGTGCTCATTCCATCTGCGAATACATCAGAACGACATAAGTAAATAGACCTTTCATTATTCAAATAGACTCGAATCAAATGAAATTACTGCAGCGAATCGAACTTTCATTTAAGTGAGGAGGAATCATTACGTCATCAGCAATATAATGTTTTATATCATCTGCGTCTTATTTAAAGAAATAAAAATATGTTTGTTCGATAAGGTATCTATTTACTAAATACTAAACTACTTATTATTCATTAATGTAGATATACTTATTTTAGTGTAACTTCTAATATTCTATATTAGAAGAAGGTATAACATTATCAAATATAGGAGGGCACGATGAAACCTCTGGCGTAATAAGCTGTTCCATGTTACATAATAAGGGAGCTCATATTGTTACTTTATTAACATAGAATCTGATATGCATCTTCTATGCATATGATATTATATATCATCTGCGACAGAGGTGCTGAAGAACATGATCAAAATCGGAAAGTTTATCATTGTGTATTCCTGAATCGTCTTTACCATTTTCCTTATCATCGTTTTTTTAGATGACTGACAGACGGTCACTTTTACTATTTTAATAAAATTTTGTTATCATAGTTACTATTGTTACTAACGATCGAGATAAATCGAGTTTTTCCTACCTATCAAGAATATATATAAGCATTTACTAAATTCGAACGTTTAAATTAATTTTCCAATCGACTAAGCTATGCGAGAATTATGTTTGATATCTACAAATGAAAACTAGTACAAGAACAGCTCGTTTGGTACAAGAGAGACATCGATTTGCGTGGATCGATGAACGTCTAGCTATGTGAACCTTACAGTCGGTAACTGTCCCAACGACAGGAGATGAACCATCGGTCAAGCCCTAGGATATACCCAATACGATGAGAAGTTTTATATATTGTAAAAAAACATACACTGTTACCGACCAACAAAATAACAGGAGCGATGAATAATTCCGCGACGAGATAGATTCGCGATTCTCTCTTTCTGATGTTGATAAGGCGAAAGGGTTCAAAACCTGATAACGCAGTATGGCATGAGCGAAATTATGATGATAAATAAGCCAAAAACATATCTTACGATAATATGCTAGCATAAACGATAGATTGGAATAGCAAAAGTCAATTAAAATCGTCTAGAATATCCTTAGACTGTTTCATTATTTTACATTACGTAAAGCTGATGTCCGTAGAAGTTTAGGTTTTAAATGTTTTATATAGTGTAAATTTTAAACGCTAAAATAAAACGGACTATTGAAATGATAACAGCAAGATATGATAAGAATAATCGCAGAGAGCTGTAATACGTGTCACCTTACTCAAATATAATACGCGATATATTTAAATAAATTGTTCCTACTGCATTGATTTATTAATTACAAAGTTTTATTTCAATCATAATTACTTAATTAGTATAGTCAAATCTTCAATGGATCAGCGCATTCATATCTACACAGGCTATGTGATAAAGTCAAGATCACCTTCATAAGCATGCAAATTTATGTTAACGATGACATATACAATCAAATTACCATGATAATAACATACAGAGAGATCCGTTTTTCAGTGGACCCGCATGAATCTGTGTTCGCGCAGAGACCAGTTAATTATTCATCCAACAATGTATAACAAAGAGAAACAAGAAAAGAACACCGTAAAAACATAACACATTCCAATGGCACTATTCGTTTTAACAATCCCGGATATTCTAACGTTAAATGTTAAATATCGCTAAAATTTCGCTGAAGAATAACTGCGGCGGTTTTCATTTCCGACTTACGTCAGCAACTTTACATGTAATATAAACGCTCCCCTACGTTTAACGAAAAAAAAATAGTACGCTATAATTTTACAATTTATTAGAAACCTCTCTCCAATTTACAGTGACATAAACGTCCTTTTGCAATAAGTCTATATTATTTGCCATGCGCGCGGCTCGGTGCAACGTTGCGGTTTATTGCGACCGGAATACGTTGTTACAGAAACGGAAATTGTAGGAAACAGCGAGGTATATTCTATTAGACTTACCTAAGTGCACGCCACTCCCCGTCTGTGGTTGTGGTCGGCGCGGATGTGCTCTTACTCGGGAGACTCAAACGAGGACCGATGCGCAGTGTCATAGGTCGCCTCCTTCGCGTGTAATCTGAAATAATCGAACGGTACAGAGATATCTCTGAAAGCGAGGTCATGCTCCGACGTTGGACGCGTTATCCGCCATCCTCCTGGGAAGCAACATTGTGCCGCCAGGAAGACAGGTGTTTGCGAAGAAAACATCGATTTAAAGGGATTACTACGTGTGGCATTGAACGGGTCACGATGATAAATTCTGATCGCGTGTAGACAATACATATAACACAATTTATTTTTTTCTGCAAATATCAAACATGATTGTTGGATAGTCGATTGTACTTCAGGTATTTCACTTAAGCCTATTATGCAATTGTGTTTTATGGGCGGACACCTGATGCTTTACAAATTTTTATCAATAAGTTTTATTCCATTATTTTTATCAAAAGTTCTATTCCATATTCTATTGTGCAATGTTTTAGATAAAAATATTACTTATTTTAAGATCTTTAATATTTCAAAACTTTAATATTTAAATAAATCAAATTTCAAAAAAAACTATACATATAATAAGTCACGTAATCTTCAAAAAAATTTATTTCTCAATTTTTATAAATTTTTGAAAGTCTGACTATTAGAAATATAAATATTTATATCTTTAACAATGAATATAATTGATGTTTCATATATTGCGTCTTTTTTCTCAATGTAAATGTTTGTATCATCTCTAACAATGAATACAGTTTATATTTCATACATTGTGTCTCTTTTCAATTTAACCTTGATGTAACATATTGCACAAAATAAAGATTGATATGATTATTGCATTAAAAAACCAGTGTAATTGGTATTGTTTTCTTTCGCACGCGTGTTTTATACAAAATAATGATTAAAAAATCTTACCATTTGCGGAACAAAGCGAGTTCCGTCCGTGAAAAACGTTTGGCGATAAGAATTGGGAGTGTGGATTTGTGGGGGTTGTCGGAGAGGTTCGACTCGGAGCCGATGTGGTAGTCCAAGGTGGTACTACATCTCGTACGGCATTTGATTCCGTCGAGACGACGGGAATCTCGTTGGTCACCCGTACTTCTATTCCCACAGACTGTCAACAAAAGCAATTAAATATTTATATATTTAAAAAGATATAATATAAAATATTTTTTACAGTTATAATATATAATATTTTTGTAGCAAATTTCAAACGTAGCTATCACTTCATCAATTTTTTTAAATATTCAATAATAATAACATTAATTTAGATTTAATAAATATTATTTAAAAATTAAAGCGCCGCGAAAATAAAATTCGTCTAAATCTAGAGAGAAGGACAATGAAGTTTTACTGCTTCATTATAAATGGTATCTATATATTGTTCATTTTCAACTATTTTTATAATTTAAAAGATGTCATTGTCTCTCGATAATTTAATTAAACAACATTGATTTTCATGTTGCGAGGTCAAAATATAAAATAAACACTTTTAGTAACAAATTATTGAAACCTATGGTACTTACGATAGAATAATTATATGTAAAAATATGCCAATAATGTTAAAGAAGATTTTATTCCATTTTATATTCCTTTTACAACCACGTTATTAGGCCATAAATTCGGTTATAATTAACCAAAATTTGTTCGGAAATTTCGTGGTTCAAGCGTGGGTCGCGTCAAACTATAACTACTGTTACATTGTCTATTATTACGAACTGAATTACGTACAAACGTCGCGAACAGATACCTGGTACTATAAAATGTAATTAACCGACACAAAGGCAAACGTTTGTAATAAAATCGAAACGTTTAATCGAATTACAAATATCACTCCGTACCGAGTGACTAAGGTACTAAGGCTATATCTATCTTTAGCCGGCAATGCCTGTTGACTCTATAATGTATACATTGTCTCCTGATAGTAAGATATACGAGGTTCTAAATTAACGACTGTACTTTTCCGGAATTTCTCATTTACAACATAGTGTTGATACGAAGCAAAGTGTAAAATTTTAACAGTAGCACATAAATGTATTGTACATCGGATTAGAAAGCAACATACATTAATACAATTAATTAAATTATTTTCGGACTCTATTAAAATGAAAATCCTCTCAGAATAAAATTCGCAAATCTAAAACCAATAATTAATCATATTTTTCATTTCCAGAATAAACCTTCATAGTTACTTTGGAAAATCGGATATACTTATTTAGATATTACAAAATATTCAAAATTAACAAACTTCAATAAAAAGAAATTACATCCGTAATTAAAATTTAATATCAAATTATATATCGCTGTAAAATAATACTTTCATTTCATAAGCCAAAAATATAGATCATGTCTGTTAATTATATCTATTTCACACCGTTATAAATATATCGGCGAGAAATAATATATTGTCGA